CGTTTTGCAATAGTAATCAAAATTTTGTTATAAAAACTGAACAAATGGAAATTTAGTTTTTAAGTCTTAATCAAGCCTCCAATAAGGCGGGCATAGCCCTAGCCTCAACGTATTTCGTTTTATTTAGTGTCCCTCCAACAGAGAGGACACCAACTTACATGTTTATCCGTGCTGTGGTGTTGATGGATATTCAACATTTGAAAGCAAATTTATATGCCTGGGTGTAGCTGAGTGCGCAAAGATGCTTGCCACAAGTTGTTGATATCCGGAGATAGTCGGGTTCGGATTCCACTGCAGCAATATGCAAATAACATTTTCTTTTTTAGTTTTTGTTTTGATTATTCACTTCACGGATGCTTTTTCAGTACGAACGCGGTCATTTTAATATGCGCGTAATTGAATTGAATATTTACCAATATACAGTATTTTCGATGACGTTTACAAGTAGTGCAGTGGGTAAACCAGAAAAATTTTGTCTTGAGGCGTATTGTAATGCGCTACTCCATCGATACAAAAAGTAACCGCTTACCAAAAACAGAAAAGTTTTTGCTCGGATGTAACGGGTTTTGGAAAAAGGCGAATAATCATGTCATTTTGATTCTATAAATCCCTAATTATGATTAAGTTTTATGTTTAATTTTTTACTGAATAGAAACACACAAAAATGTTGACCGGTTTTACTAGGGAAGTACTCCTCTGTGCCACAGTCGCCAAACGGCAGAGAATGGTGAACTTTCGAGTGTATTTCTGCCTGGAAAAAGCTTCTCATAGAACCATATCATGGTGAAATGAACTGAAGGTGGCGCATTCCCGAAACCGCTACTTTGGTTTTGCCGACTATGACATTTATGGCAATACGTAAACAAACTTTTTGTTTAGAAACAACTGCAAACGTATTGCAAACGTATTGTGTACTTTCAAGTGAAAAATCGAAGTAATGTCGTGTCGTGTGTTGAATTGCAGCAGCTGTAGGGGTAAAGCCCCCAAATTAAGTTTTTTTTTTGTTTCCCCGCGACGACGCCTTGGCCAGAAAGTGGGTAGAGTTCTGCCGGCAGGAGAAGCCATACAATTTAGACACCAGCGTAATATTAAAAACGACATGTTAAGTTGAAAACGTTGAAATACCACAAATTACAAATTAAAATCGGAGGTAAGCAAGCATCGACCACTTTCTGCAGGAAAACATGCGCTGCGACAAGATATTATCACTTTTTCGGCACCTGCAATACAAACACAAAAATTCTAAATAGTTAATTAATAAGACCTATTCTTTTAAACACATTTCAAGAGTGGTTGTATATTTTTTGTTAACGTAGAGCTTAATTTGCAATATTCAAAGATGGCTTGAGAAATTGGTGAATCGAGAAGAAAACACGTTTTCTCACTGCAAATTCACAACTGTCAACTCATTGTTCTTCGCCATATTCTTTGTTTACCCGTTGCCACAAATGTCATTCTGCGGGAATGCGCAATCTTGTATTCTATCGTTCTTGGAACCATATGCCGTTCGAAGGCAGTGTAAAATTGTAGGTCCCTCCATTTGTGTTTATACTTTCAGGACTCACGCCCCAAATTGGAGGAGAAACTCGGCCAAACACGTAGCAAAAGTGTAAGCTCTAAAATATATATTTTGTCATAATAAAATCAAATATACAGCTATTGTTATTCACGCTCTAAACGAATGTATAGTGAGTTAAAATGTAAGTGTGTAGATGTAAAGTAAATGAGGCAGTAAACAAATACATATATGTATGTATATATGAGGCCATGAGGACTAGAGAAGTCTTACTACAATTCTAAAAAAAGTAGCTTGTAAGGTATGCAACACCACAGTAATAGGTAGCAATAAGTTGGTCTCATCATGTTAATTGTTTTTGTAGATAGGCTAATTTGGTTCTTATGGCCTCATAAATAAATAAATGCGCAAGTAAATCTGTTTTTCTTTCATGTCTTTCTTAGCAAATTTTCTATTCTATCATTTCCATGTAGGTGAAAGTTTTAGTCGATGTTGCATATTTTTTAGAAGAGTAATACATATTTATCTTGGTAAAATAAGAGTTGAGTGTTAAAAATCACTGTGCTTGGTATGATACCTATAGATTTACAGCCAAGCCTAATACAAACAAACGCCCGGCTTGACGGTAAAGCACGCCGCTTAATTTTGGAGGAGCTCATACAAATTGTGCATGAAAAATGTTTGACAGGTAATTTTGTTTGTGCGCGTTAGTATTAGATTGGACTGTTGAGGCGCGTATCAAAGATGTTTTAAAACTAGAAAAGTTATAAAAGTAAAATATTAATACTACGTACATACTTAAATAATAGGAATACGTATCCGACGTTCTTATAAAATGTTTATAATATGTCAATTATAATAAGTAATACATACATATGTGTGTATGTTTCAATGACTTACTGTCAAAATTAAGGCTTATAGTGGCGTTGCTTTCGCCCAGCTCATTTTTGGCATTTACTTTATATTTTCCTGCGTCTTCAACAGTAACATTCTTTATTTCTAAGGATGCAAAATAAGAGTGGCCATCTTTTTGAACAGACATCTAAAACATATGAAATAGAAAATTGCAGAAAGAAATTAAGTAAAATAATTACAGATTGTTTATATCTTTTGATTGCAAAAGTTTAAAGTACTTATTTAAAATTTTAAACGATAACGAAAATCTAAAACTTTTTCTCCCTCTATTCTTTTACCTTAAAACCAGGGCAACCAAAAATTTGCTTTTTCAATGGTATAGTTTGACATGTAGCATTTATTTTCAGAAATTATTCTAAATGAGCCATATTTGTTAGTGAATATCGTTTTCATTGCTATCATCCCAGCTTTTTGGGTTAAGAAACATTATTCTACCGGAATAGCTGACCTCTTCATTGTGTACTGCCACAATAATTTTTGAACATTACCTGGTGGGGTTGAACTGATGCATTTTTTTTATATTTCATATGCACATACGTAAAATGAATTTATCAATAACTATTTTCATTGCTGGTTTAAATTAACAATATTTTTTTATTAAGAATGTCACAGTTTTTTCTAAATTATACTTTTATTAGTGCAAAATTATTTTTTAGTGCAATTATTGGCGCTATAAACGCTTTTATTAAAGCGAATTTTTGGTTGCCCTACTTATATCGAACTAAAACATAGTAATGTGAAAAGTCGAATTGAAGACATTGTTTTTTTTGGTTTTTTTTTTAACTAAATTGATTTCAATGGTAAAATTTGATATTTTGACTACACACTGTCTATTATGAAAGGCTAATTGTTACTCACTTTATGTCTTGGTGTTTCTTTAACCGGGTTGCCATTGTGGTACCAGGTAATGGTTGGTAAAGGATCCGCATTGACCCTGCACTCGAAGAGAAGACGTTTACCGTCATCCTCCTGTCGGATAGCGGGCTTTTTCGCAAAAGTCGGCGCGAAACCGTCGATTTGTCTATGATATGAACGAAAAAGTTGTTTGGTTAAACAATTATTTCTTCCTACTTTTTTGAAACATTTTCAAAATAGCATCCAAGCAATTTCAAATTTGTCGCTAAAAGCACAAAACTTACCGTGCAGATTCGCTGACTTCAAATATGCCCTCTGATGGTTAAATTCGTGCAAAAACAGCAAAAGAATAGAAAATTGAGAAGCGAGAAGCGAGATGATTGCGCAAAAGAAATTAACGTAAGCGAAACGGATTTTTAATGCAAAATATTTCACCAACCACCAACTTCCTTGTATTCATTTTATATTTTTAAATGCTAATATACCTAGAGTTTAGATTCCAGCTCTCAAGAAAAATTACAAGAAGTATTTTTCATTCTTTCTGTCGCTTGAAAAAATACTTTGCCTTTGCTGTAAAGTTTCTTGAAGATAAACGCGAATTGTTTTTGAGAGCTGCAAACTGATTTAAGAAATTTTGGAAGAAGAAAACTTCTCTTTAATTTCTTGTGCGTTTTTATGTTTTTTTTGTATTTCTTAAAAGGTAGATACTATGCTTATAAAGTTATGCTTGTATAACGTTGACACCGTTTCAAACCGAAATAACGATCATATGCCACCGTATGAGTTCTATTTTATTTTTAACAGAAACAAAATTTGCTTATTATCTTCTTTCCCGCTTTCTACATCTACTTAAATTTATCTACATATATCTATGCGCATGAGAAATTTACAGGGTTATTATTCGGTAAGGGGGTTGTTCGTTATAATATACAAATCTTCCATGTTTGGTTCAACACTGCTTAACGGACAGAACTCATACGTACACTCCGATTCACTTGAATATCTATCAACGTTTTTTCCTCAAGATAGGAGCTTATATCATAGTTTAATTTCGTTTTAAAGAACGGTCAATTCCGAAGAAAATTGGGGAAATTAAAACACCTTGATTACTTTAGTCCACTTTTTATCAAACTTAACAGAACACAAAAGCTAGACGGAAATAACAAAAAGTCCCTTACTAGGTCAGCATCTAATTGTCGAAATAGTGGGCCAAAATTAAAGAAAAAACGTTGACGTTGATGATACCAGAAGGTGGACTATAAATTACTCTACGCACTTGTGCGCAGAAAATATCAAAAACTAGTGAACCCGGATGGCGTTAAATGCCCAGAATTTAATTTCAAAACCCTAGAAAATACTCCAAATGCTAGTCAGAGTTATAAAACATCTGAGTCCCATATCTTCTATATATATAAAATAATAGCCGTTTTCGTTGTTCGGAGTTACCTCAAAAACTACTGCATAGATTTCAGTCAGAGGTTATACCTTGTATATATGGTCCTATTATACGCTACCACAAAACTCGGTAGGTGGCGCTGGGGTAGAGTTATTTGTAAAAGTCGTATTTATGAACCGATTTATTTTAAATTCAAAATGTAAGCTACCAGCATGATGGCAAACACGTTTACCAAAAATAGACGCGCTAGGTGGCGTGGGAGTCGTGTTACTTACAAAAGTCGTATTTATGTACGGTTTTTTTTTCAAATTCCAAAGGTATAGTTTCAGCATAATGGAAAATACGTTTACCAAAAACGGAGCCGCTAGGTTGCGTGGGATGGCTAAATCAAGGATGCGTTTAAGTATGCATATAAAGACCGTAACACTATGTAAGCGTGATCTTGCATATATTACAGCAGTAAGACTCAAAAAAACCAATTCATAAATATTAAGACGAATTGTAAAAGTGGCGAATTGACAAGGAAAGATTCGACCACATCTGTCCAAGAAGGAACGCGATAGGTATATCAATGGCTTCATTTGAACGATATTCATGAGATCACATGACCCATTTAGCCAATGTACGCGAAAATTTTTCATCCTGTGGGGCAGCGAGGATTCTTGGCCCTCCTATAATTGGAAACGTTCATCTGTGCTCTTGATTTTCCGTATAAGAACTTTTATTGGCTTACATGGTACACCGGACCAATGCTGAAGTTGCAGGATCATAGAAGAATATTACGCACGCTTGGCAAAGATCTCACAGGTGGACATAAGACCATAGGTAAAACGCATTACATCGAAAGGGATTACTATTCTATATGGAATCACAGCGCTACTATTCTTGTCATATGTGTGAGGAGGATTCCGTTTTTTAGTTGTTTCAATTTAAACTAAAAATGTTTGCTTTACAGACCGCTTTTGCTTTTAAACGCTATTTTTGAATTGGCCAACGCAAAAGATATTATTAGGCGCCGCGAAGCAAGCGGACATTTGCTAGTTTCATCTAAATCCGTGCAGCCGTTTCTTAGTGAATCACCGGTACGGTAAAAAGTTCTAAATTTAAAAAAATTATACTTTATCATACATCTACAGGCTAAGGTCTTTAATTTGATTACACATTTTTAAAATTCGAAAGCTCGGTGCAAATCTAATGATCAAAAAGTATTTTCAGACTGAAATCGTTCTAAATCTCTTTCGTCTGAATTTTTTTTGTGATACATATTTCAATTAACTGATGAATTAAGTTGAACTTGATTTTTTTAAACATGTGTGTGTGCTAATTATAGTTTAGAAATTAAGCATTTCAAACCCATTTTGATTGATACTTATCATTTAATAATTAATTACTTGTTAAATAATTTTAATTTAAATTTTTAAACACGTTGCAACCCTCTTGAAATTCCTCAAAAATATTCTAAATATTCAAACCAAATATTTCTTAAACACTCTTTCGCCCATATCTTAATATTCCAATTAATAATTTTAATGTCACTTTTTAAATACCAGGGTTGCCACAAACATTTCAGATGTTCAAAATGAGGATTTATTAAGACTCTTTCATTTGAACACCCGTATTTGCATACTTCAAATAACTTGTGTATAATTTAATTAAATTCGAATTTTTGAACAGTTGGTAACCCTCTTCAAAAGTATCTACTTCGTCTTACATGGCGATACATATTTTAATTAACTGATGAATTGAGTTCAATTTGTTTTTTTTTTTTTTAACATGCGTCAACCCCGCTAAATATAGTCCGTAAATAAATCTTTCTCAAACAAATTTTGATTGATACCCATATATTATTAATTCATTTAACTTATAAAATAATTTGAATTTAATTTTTGAACTCATGGCAACCCTCTCCCAACACCTCAAAAATATTCTTAGCGTTCAAACTAAAGATTTCTTAACACTCCCTCGTTTGACATCCATATTTTGATATGTCGTACAACTTGGGTATAAGTAAACTAAATTCGACATTTCAAGCAGGTGGAAACCCTTTTCAACCCTCATATAGTTCAGCTAAGAAACAAAGCTTTTCAAATCCATTTCGATTGATACCCAGTTTGTAATAATTTATTTATTTTTTTAAATAATTTGAATATAACTTTTTAAAAGGTGGCAACTAATTGCACATCTATATTCCAAGGCCTTTAGTTTGACGCCTCATTTTGGAAAATCGAACGAACGGTGCGGATTTGATGGCATTGGTTATTAAATAATTTGAATTAAATTTTTCAACAGGTTGCAACTCTCTTCGAAAAACTAGAACCAGTTTGCACATCTACTGACCAAGCGCTTCAATTTTTGAAAGTCGTGAGAACGGTACAGATCTTTTATCCTGGACAAAACATCCCTTCGCGTTTATATACATATATGTATATGTATAGATATATATGTGTATATATATATAGATGTGTATAAATTTTACAGCACAACGTTAAGGAAAACGACTGGAATTTTGTACAACTCACGTACCTGGAAGGACGACTAGTAAATAGTGGTTTTCTCCAATGAAAAGTTTAATTTTGACGGATTTATTAATAGTTGTCACAATTTGTGCAAGGACGAACGTTGTTTCACCTCCGTGATCAAAAAGATGGTATGGCGGTGCGAACCGCGGTTTCTTAGTCTATAGCAGTTCAGGCAATAAAACAAGTATTAAGGGCATTTTTTTAACATTTGTAGCATATTCCCGCACCTTGTTCTTGAATATTGAGATGTAAAAAGAGGACACATCAGAAGCATTTCATGTCACCGCGGCCACCTCTGTGCGCGACCTCTATGAATTTGGATGAAAGTTGAAGAGATTGAAGGTCTAGGTGACGTGAATATACGTGCAGCATATTTTACCGATATGACGTAGGGTTGCCTATTTACACGGGACTTAAATTTTAAGAAAACGTCATACATACCTTTCTTTAAAGTGCTGTATTTTGGTGACCTTTTAACGCAGCTTAATGAAACAAAATGTATTTCTTCCGTGTTATTATGGGCTTTAATAGTGCATTTATTACATTAATGTGCAATGTATAAAAAAAAAAAAATTAAAGTAAACATTTTTCTTTTTGATTAATTTTTTTTATTATAGCATTTTTTTAAATTTTTATTTTTACATAAAAACATTGTCTATAATGTCAACTTTAAGTATCCAAATGGGCGTAATGGGCTACTTACAGGCTAACCTAATATTCACGCACGCCCCCAATTTATTGTCAAAAAGTCTCATGCACATGCAACTTGTATGAGATCAACCGAAATTGAACGGCGTGCGTATGAAGCTAACTCAATTTCCAATTTTTGTTCTGCGTGACATTTTGATTTGACGTTTCGCTCAATGAAATCAAATGCAAACGCATGCAAGTCAATTTCGGGTGACGCCAAAAAACAAATTCGACGGCATGCGTACCAGACTCTATATCGTCTAACGCTAGAGCAATATGATAAATAGACATGGAAATTTTATGAAATTGTATATTTTTGAAAGAGGAAAGGTGTGTGGCAACACCAAATCCAGCAAGACAAAAATGCAACTCTGTTTTATTCGTTTAGTGTTGCTCCTTTTTGCTTTCTTTCTTTTTCTGGCTTCTGGAATCATCGGAGACGATCGCGTGTTTCCTTGGTATCCTTACATTTATTTATGTGACTTTTATAACTTGTTTTTGATAAATAGAAAATATTGTACGATATTAAATTAGAATAAATAAAGCGTATTCGTAAGTGGAACCATATCCACATATTGGTGACCCCGAAAACTGAGCATTGCTACATAAGTCTTACTGGCGCCAGCATTATATCCATCTGCATCAGCTATTCATCGCTACCCAACGTTCGATTCTGTGCACAGCTTGGTCTGCCCTCTGTTCCTACCGCA